TGAACAGAAAATTAAATTTTGTGCTATCTTCAATTTTTGACCACTGATGCTTACTATCCATTTAGAATACAGAAACTTTTGATTTTCAAATAAATTTATGCAAATTAAAGAACTAAAAAAATATCAATCCTCAGAAGCTCATGGCTTTTATATATACAAATAATGAGTAAAACAATGCGATTTACAATCATGTTTCAGAAAATCAATTACCTCAGAATCACTTTAACTATAGAGGTAAAGGACTTATAAAAAGAAAACAACAAAACACTACTTCAGAAAATAAAAGAGGATAGGAAAAAATTGAAACATATCCCCTGCTCAAGGATTGGGAGGATTAAGTTTGTTAAAATGGTAATATTCCCCAAAACATTACATAGATTCAATGCAGCCCCTATAAGGGAGTGTATTTTCAAAGAAATAGATCAAATACTCCTGAAATTCACATGAAACAACAAACACCCACAAATAGCTAAAGCAATCCTTTGGGAAAAGGAAATGGGAGACATCACCTTCCCCAACCTCAAACTGTAGTACAAAGCAGTAGAAATTAAAATAACCTGGTACTGGAGTAAAGTCAGAGTCACATATCAGTAGAGGAGTCGAATATACTGAAACACTATCTCAAATATACGGTCACCTAATCTTTGATAAAAGAGCCAGAAATATGAAGTGAAACAAGAAAAGGCTCTTCAACAAGTTGTCCTGGGAAAACTGGGCAGCTACATATAATAAAATGAACTCAGACCTCTTTCTAAAGCTAGGCACAAGATTCAGATCAAAATGAATTAAGGACCTCAAAATAAGACCTGAATTTTTAAGGTTCATGGAGGAAAACATGGGTAGAACCCTCCATGACATTGAAGCTAAAGCATGTTCAAAGATGAAACACCAGCGAACAAGCAAGTGGAAACAAAGATAAAGAAATGAGACTCCATTAAACTCAGAAGCTTCTACACCTCAAAGGAAACAATGTCGAAGATACAAAGACAGCACACAGAATGGGCAAAACATTTACCTAATACCCATCTAAACAAGGGGTTAATATCCAAGATACATAAGGCACTGGTAGAACTGTACAAGAAAAAAAAGTCCGACCCCATTAAAAAATAGGAAGAAGAAATGAATAGAAACTTCCTCAAAGAAGAAATACAAATTTCCAGAAGATATATGAGAAAATGCTCTATCATTGCTAATCATCAGGGAGATGCAAATCAAAACAATGAGATTTCATTTTACACCACAGATACTGGCACATGAAAAAGAACAAGAGCATCCAGTGTTGGTGTGAATGTGAGGGAAAAGGTACTCTCCTTCACTGTTTGTGGGAATGCTGATTTGTTCAACCCTTCTGGAAAACAATTTGGGCATTCCTCAAAAAGTTAGAAATTGAGCTTTCATACAACCCTTCAATACCCCAGGGGCCCAAAAACACACTACAGAAATGTCACTTGCACTTCTATGTTTATTACAGCACCATTCATAATATCCAGAATCTGGAAACAACCTATGTGCCCAAGAGCAGATGACTGATTAAAGAAACTGGTACATTTACACAATGTAGCACTATGCGGTTAGGAAAAATAAAGTTATGACATTTGCTTAAAAATGAATTCAAATAGAGAGTATCATGCAGAGTGAAATAAGTCTGAAGGAGAAGAACAGACATAGAATGATTGCAATCTTTTGTAGAATACAAAAAATATATATAATATGAGATTAATACCCAAGGATAGTAGAGACAAGGGCAAGGAGGATTGGTCCAGGGTTGAAACAGTGTCTTAAGTACTGGGAGAGAAAGCAACTTGGATAGAGAAGGGGCCATTTTGACAAAGACAGATGGAAATGATCACTCTGGATGAAAAGTGTGTGCTGTAAGTAGGTAAAGGAACAAACATGCTAATGTCTCAGTATGTGTATTACAAACCATAATGCCCAAAACGAAAGAGAGAGAAAAAGAAAGAGAGAGGGGGGAAGGAGGGAAAGAGGGAGGAAAACAGGGAGGGAAAGAGGGAGAAAAACAGGGAGGGGAGGGAGGGGAGGGAGGGAGGGAGGGTAGGAGGGAGGGAGGGAGGGAAAGGGCCTATCATAGAACCATAGAGGCAGCTGGGAGAGGGGAGGTGGCAGGAAGGACACTGGTATCATTGGTGGTAGGAAATAGACACTGGAGGAGGGTTGGGTGTTGGATCACTGTATGACTGAAACCCAATCATGAACAGCTTTGTAACTGCACTGAATCTGTGTAATTTTTTGAGTTAATTGCCATTTTAACTGTGTTAATACTCCAATCCATGAACCTGGGATGTTTTCCTATTTCCTTGTGTACCTTTTTATTTCTTTAAGAAGTGTTTTGTAGTTTTCTTTGTACAGGTCTTTCACTTCTTTAAGCTGAGCAAGGAAAGCCCCCTCAACAAGTGGTATTGGGTACACTATTTGGCCACATACAAAATAATGAACAGTATTTTTTCTAACACTGCACACAAAAGTGAAATTTTAAAATGGACTATAGACCTCAATATCAGATGAGAATTAGGTACAAAGACAAAAATTTTGGCAGAACTCTATGACATTGAGGCTAGAGACACCGTTAAGAGTCAAACACCATCGGGCTAGAGAGATGGCACAGTGGGTAGGGCGTTTGCCTTGCACGCGGCCGACCTGAGTTCGATTCCCAGCATCTCATATGGTCCCCTGAACACTGCCAGGATTAACTCCAGAGTGCAGAGCCAGGAGTAACTCCTGTGCATTTCCGTGTGTGACCCAAAAAGCAAAAAAAAAAAAAATCAATATTGACAAAGCGAGCTGAAATAATGATAAACAAATGGGACTCATTTGGGGCTGGAACGATAGCACAACAGGTAGGGCTTGCACGCAGCTGAGCTGGGTTTGATTCCCAGCATCCTATGTGGTCCCGAGCACCACCAGGAGTAATACCTGAGTGCATGAGCCAGGAGTAACCCCTATGCAATGACAGGTGTGACCCAAAAAGCAAAACAAAACAAAACAAAAAATACACCAAAAAAACCCAAATGGGACTCATTAAATTAAGAAGCTTTTGCACCTCAAAACAAATGATGACAAGAATACAAAGACAGCCCAGAGACTGAGAAAAACTTATGGCCCATCACTTATTTGATAAAGGGCTACTCTCCAAATATATATAAAGCACTGGTAGAACTCTATCAGAAAATAAAATTTCTAACCCCATCAAAAGTGGGGAGAAGAAATGAACAGAAATTCCATCATAGAGGAAATACAAGTGGCCAAAAGGCATATGGAAAAATGCCGTATCACTAATAATCAGGAAAATGCAAATCAAAACAAGATACTACCTTACACAGAGAGACTGGGATCACCAAAACTAACAACTGGTATTGACAAGGTTGAAGGTAAAAGAAACCCTCATCCCAGTGTTGGTGGGAATGTTCAGCTGATCCAGTATATTTTGAAGTCAATATGGCCATAGCTCAAAAACCCAGCAATTAAACTTACATACAAGCCAGCATGCCACTTTTCAGAATATACCTGAAGGGCCCAAAATAACAATTCAGAAAAGACATCTTCACTCCTATATTCTCTGCAGCACTAGTCACAATATTCAAAATCTGGAAACAACCCAAGTTCTCAAGAACAGATGTCTGGATAACGAACACAGGTACACTAGTGAAGATGTTGGAACATTGTATGCTTGGAATTTAGTAATGAATACCTTTGTAATTCTGTGATTCTCAATGATTAAAAAATTTTCTAATTATAAGGGTAAAAAAAATCAGGCATGTTGCTTTAAGTAGACTACAATCCTCAACTCTGAGGTTGTGACTCAGATTTAGCCCTAGAGAGGCAGACAGGATAACTGAATGCCCTAAAATTCTTCCCAAACGAATTGGCTTTGACCTGGAGCAGTGTGTTCGGAATGTTAATGTCCAAATTTCAAGGTGTATTTGCAAAATAGTGGTGGCTTTAGTGGTAAAAAGTTAAAATAAAATGTGAGAGAATCAAAGGAGTCAAAGTTAGCAGGAAATGAGACAGCTAATTTGAGAGTCATATCAAACCTCAAAGAATGGTCTCAAAAACCTTTCCTTCAAATGGGGCCCCAGATTTAATTGGATAATACTGTGAAACTTTGTGTTGTGTCAGAATATTCTAAAATATAAAAGCCAGTTGGGATGGCCTATAAATTGGGCAAGATGCCAACAGAGAGAGAATTTACAAAGAAGTCAGGGAAAAGACAAAGAGCTCTTTAGGAGATACCTATCCTCAAATTGTACCTTCCGAAAACAACATGAAAAGAGACATATTGCAAGAGAAAGAGGTTTAAATACATTAGCCCCACCAAGGCACTAATCAGTGTGCCAAACAAGTGATTATAACAATCTTTGATGCCCAGAATTGGTATGTCATCTACAAACATAGTTTCCAGTGACACCAACAATTGCCGTTGTTTCTACTGCAATACTTGCAAAGAAACAGCAAAATACAAGCCATGTTTAGTGATCAGCAAAATGAAAATAAAACATAACAATTAGAAGGATTGCTGAATACAGAGATAAAAGTAAGCTCTGAACACAATGGATATAGCCCCCAACAACGAAAAAGATGATGATGAGACATTGCAAGAATCTTCCAGGTGGTGCTCAGAGGCTACCAGGGTTCACGGGGGCAATATTGGGTATGTGGTACCAGGGATTCTTTTTAAGGTTTCACACATGCTAGAAATGTGCTCTACCACTTGAGATATTTTCCTGGCCCAGAATCTCTTTGAAACTCATTTTCCTGACTTGTAAGACATTGATACAGATAGTTGGTAAGGTCAATCCCAGGTCAAATTTCAGGTCAAATATACTGATTCTCATGTCTTCTATTCCCAGAGGGGAAATAACTGCGTCCTCTACCAACTTATTGGTAAAGTTCAAATGTCATTGATTTTTAAAAGACGAAAGCTCTCCTCTTGCTTTTGCCAAGCCCTAGAAGTTATGCTGAATACAGTTATAAAGTGCAATTACCTGAAAAAACTAGTCTTTGGCTTCTGACTTTGCAGTTACATTTATCAATCATATCTGGAGTAAACACATCTTTGTGACAGTTGGTACAATACAAATAGGCTCTAGACAACGAAAACAAATCAAGAATGACTTCACAATAAGGTGGAATGGTGCAGCCACAGTCTACCTGCCATTACATCGTATCTGCATTAGGGCATTTGATCCCACCCACCACCTAATCGATAAATAGGAAATATTACCTTCTCACTTCCCTTGCAGATTCAGCAATAAAGAATCCTAATGTGTTCTTACGCAGCTTAACTTGTGCAGGTGGATTTAACATCAGGCGACTAGAAACAAAAAAATTACAGTAACTTTCCCTCTGATTTCTCAGATTGTTGGATGAAAGGCAATATTTGGTATTTTGTTCTATCATTACGTATTACATATTACATATGAGTATAAGTTTTAGATTCATAGGATTCAATTTCTTTTCTCTGCCAAACTCCGTAGAAAGTGTGAAGTGTAGGTACTTAATTGTTTGATAGATGTTACTGAGTGTAGCCAAATGACAGCATGACTGCTGGGCTGCATTCATAGTTGTAAGTGAGGTGAGATTTTAAATTGTGTCCTGAATCTCAGGGGGCCAAACCATCCCAGATGCTTGAACATGTGTTAATTGCAGCTGCCAATGCCAAAGAAGTCAAGGCCATACAAGATGTTCCTTTATAGTCATACAGGTGGTTATCCTTAGACCATTTTCCCTTAACATTCAGTCAACAAGTTCAGTTAACGGTAGTTATCAAGTTTCTTTTATTCTCCAAGCAAATCTTGAACTCATATATTTTGACTTCATTTCTTTTGAATTTAGATTGCAAGATATTTTCAGAGCAAGAATTCCTACCTCTATATTATGTGAACTTTTTGATTTTCTATTTTTATCATCACCACTTTAAAATATCATTTGGAAGATATCATGTTGAATGAAATAAGCCAGAAGAAGGACAAACACAGGATGATCTTATTTATCTGTGATATATGGAATAACTGGATGAGGAAATGCAATGAAATAACGGGAACTGATAGTTGTTTAACTCAGCCACTAACCTAGAGTGGAGGGAGGGAGACAAGGAAGGAAATAAATCAAGAGGAGAAGAAAGTAGATCAGAAAGAGAAGTAATGTGGGAATAATCCTTGTTTACACAGGTGATGTGGAGAGTGATATATCTATAGGTCGCAATCATAGACACAATAACAATGAAAATATGATATCTGAATTATAACTGAAATCTTTGAAACGTTCCTGTCAAGGGTGCAAGTGTTGGGAGGTGATATGGGAACTTTGGTGGAAAGAAGGCAGGGATGTTTAGACCGTTGTCGACGTGCTGGATGCTTGAAATCCAACTGTCAGTAGCTTTGTAAATCATGGTTCTTTAATTAAATAAAAAACAAAAGTATCACCTGAGATATCTCAGTTATGATCTTTCTTGCTGTAACACTCCAATCCAATTATTTGAGTTTCTGTCATTTCTCAGAATCTGAGAGTTTGATTCCCTTTAATGCAAACCAACCATACAGTGAGGGTTTGTAATCCTGCAATGCATGGTGCCAAGACTCCTTTTTCTTTTATTTGTTCATTTTTGTCCTTTTGAGTCACTTCCAGTGGTGCTCAACACCAACTCTTGACCGTGTGCTCATGGATCATTCCCAGTGTTGCTCAAGTGGCAATATGAGGTTTTGGAGACCAAACTCATATTAGTGTCATACAAAAGTGCTTTAACCACAGTACTATTTCTCTGGTCTACCTTTCCTCTTTTAAAAAAAAAACAATTTTATTTTATGGAATCACCGTGGGATAGTTACAAGCTTTTTTGAGTTAAAATCGCATAATGATCAAATACCCATCCCTCCACCAGTGCACATGACCATCACCAACATCTCCGGTATACCCCGCCACCTTTCCCACCTCTCCCTGCCTCATGGCAGGCAATATTCCCTATACTCTTTTAAAACTCATCTAATATGTTCATTGAAAAGAGGTCATATTATTTGGGTAAAACTAATTCTGTTGCTGAAGCATGCCAAAGTAACTTGCAAGTGTTAAATCTTACAAAAATAAAAGGGCATACACAACAAAGACTCTTTTATCATATGCACAGCAGAAAGATTTCATGTATTCAGGAATATTTTCATGTATTCTATTATTCTTGGTTTATTTTGCGGGGGGGGGGGGGATATTGGAGAGGATAAAGTGTGCCTCCCGGTTACTGCTCAGGAGGTCCAGGTACCCTAAAGGGAGCTCCAAGCAAACCAGGCCAGAGGTTCAATGCAAGGGCCCAACTGTGGTGCTGAGAATCAAACTGGAGTTAGGTGAATGGTAAGATGTGTCCTAACCACACTATACTAACTTCTCTCCCCAGCCCCTATATATTTTGTGTTTTAAGGAATGGTACTCATATTAATTTAATATATTTAGTTCTACACATGCTGAAATGATAATATCAGTGGTTTCCATGAAATGAGAGGTGAGCTTTGTATGAAGATGTATTCCAAAATGTCATTATTACTTGGACTTTCCCTCATAAAGGAGGGCTAGCTGCTTTGTTAGGGAATGCTTATCAAATCAGTAAGTTCAACGTTATCTGACTGGGGTCAAATTCAGCTTTACCTCTTAGCATACCACAAGTTATTACCTAAGATACATTCTTATTTTTTCTAGGTGTTTTGCAGACTTTATAGTTTATTCAAGTGTATAAATCAGAAGGTGAGAAAAGGTAGATATTCACTCAATTTTTCAATATACTTATGTAAAGTCCAGCCCTTGTGTTTCCCAATTTTTCTTCTACCAATAGCGTTTGTGGTGGATTCAACACAATCTCCTAATCAAAAGAACAGACTCCAGAGCAGGCTGAGTTCAGATATGGGTTCTGCCACTCAAGAGTAGTATACAACCTGGGAACAATTGTTTAAATTTTCAGAGGCTCAATTTTCTTCCTTTGTGAAATAGGACTAGCAATTATATCCACATATAAGCATAGTTGTAAGAATTTAAGAGTTAGTGTAAGTAAAGAACTTACAGCAAGTTGCTCATAAATTATACCGTAAGATATTACTATCATCAGTGTCTGCAAAATTGGATAAATGCTTTAATATTTCTGACTTTTGGTGAAGAAACAAGATCCTCTTTCACAATATGTGTGTATGTGTGTGTGTGTGTGTGTGAGTGCATGCGTGCATGCTCACTTTCATGTGTATGCAGGTGCTAGGTAATAAGCAATACCTTATTGAACACATGTGGAAATTGGCTGCTTTAGCAAAAAAAAAAAACATTTCTGGTCTATAATACCACAATAATTCTCCTATTAGAATTTACAAAAATCTAAGATGTTCAAGTTATAATGGATTTTGAGAGCATTTGATTTAGTTATTTCAAAAATGCTAATGAGTTAACTGGCTATGTCAATATGCCTTAGAAAATTTCTCAAGTCTCACTTGAAGATTTTGATTTTAGAAAGCCAAATGTGAGACTTTTTTAGTCCATGTGTCCTTTAAAGTTTGTAAATATTTCTGAAATATGGACTAGATTATTGAAGGCCAAAGATATTAAATCTTGATGATGTTTTAGGCCAGTATGAACTGCAAATTGCCCTAGACTCCCCCTTATTGATAATCACAAAACGTTTCTAACAGAATATAAATTTGTGTAGAGATTTGGATTCTGAGATATTTCAGAATTGTTAAATAAAATGCCACAAGTTGGATGATAGTATTCATTGTGTTCTCCATAATGATGTGCTTTATAAAAGACTCCATTGATTTTTCTTTTGCCTTGACATCTTCCATATCCTTTCTACTTACTTTCCTTTTTCTCACAAAAATGCATTATTTACAGTACATATGATACAATTATTATTGAATTTGAACCTTTATGTATAGTTCTAAGATTCCTTGAAATTTAAATTTTAGAGTTGGAAGGGGGGGTCTTAGGATTTAGTTAAATTGACCCTCATTTTATAATGAATATGTCTTCACAGAAAATCATAATGAGGATTAGAATCTAGTCTGTTGACTTAAATTTAATTATATTTTAACCAAAATCATACATCTGTCAGCACAATTGAACAAACATTATTATTTGCTCCCTATTTTATTTAAGATAATCTTTAATGTTATCGTTGATTTTTTTTTTTTGGTTTGGGGGACACTCCCATCTATCTTCAAGTATTATTGGATCTGCACTCAGAAATCACTCCTAACATGTTCAATATTATATAGGATGCTGGGGACTGAACCTATGTCAGCCAGGTACAAGACAAGTGTCTTATTCACTATACTATCACTGCGGTCCCTCTTTTGTATTATTCTTAAGAGTTTTTTTTTCCCTATATTTCAGTTCTTCTTTGTCTTGGATTTTTAAAAAGTTTATCAATACCTTTATCATTCTTTTCAACTTATCCAACATGAGTTCACACACACACACACACACACACACACACACACACACACACACACATCCTACCAGTAGATGTTCTTGCCAAGAATTTGGTCAAATTTTCATTTAACAAATTTGTTTTTAAACTAGTTTTCTTGAAACTTCTTACCACAAATATTCATGATAAAAATTTTTCAGGTAAAGTAATATATTTTAAGGAAAAAAAAGGTGAGAATATGCTTTTTTTCCCCTCTAATGCTCCTGAAAGAAAATTAGAACAGAGACATAAACACAAAGGAATAATGCCTGATCAACAACCAGAGTAACCAGGCAGATATTACCATTAGGAGTCTAACCTAAATAATTAGAGACAGGGACAGGACTAAACGCAGAGTACCAGCAAATAGAAAATTGTTTGTCTATTACTATATTTTTGAAAAATTGTTATTATAAAAATTTTCTCCTCCCTCTCACTTTTAAAAAGTCTGTATTATAAAGATTTTCTCCCCCACTCCACTAAAACAAAAAAAAGTCTTATTGATACCTGGGTCCATAAAAGAGGGATTTGTGTTCGATGGCTATCAGAACTATGTGCATCTTTACAAAGCAGATCCTGAAAGGAAACCAAGTCATTGTGAGATTAGAGAGATCAGGGCGTGAAATCAGTCGCGTGTCTAATGTTCTAGTTGGAAATCACCAGCACTTCAGCAGATGTAGAGTCCCCCAATGGGGTGGGCTTTTTACCAGCCAATGAGTTCATCCTGATGTGATTCATATTGTGTGTATTAAAGAGAGAAGGAGCTGTCCCACATACATGGCAAGCTCCTACATGGCGGAAGAAAAATGACACACTCTTATATCTTAAGAGTTTATCATGAATTGATAAACCTAAAGTGACCCCATTATGAACATTAGAACATCATAGCATGAAGTATTTGGAAAATATTTCTCTTCTTTTCTGAAGTTTCTTACCGGCAAACTTCAGGAAAACTCATTCCGGCAAAATCATCAGACAGACGTTGCGTCAAGATCGTGTTATGCATGCCGTTAAAGAAGTAATTTTGCCAGTGATGTTTCAGAGTTACCTGGAAGGCAAACATGCCACATGAAGCATATTGGTGTTAAAAATAGGATGTTATTGGGGGCTGGAGCAATAGCACAGCGGGTAGGGTGTTTGCCTTGCATGCAGCCAACCCAGGTTTGATTCCCACCCAGGTTAGATTCCCAGAATCCCATATGGTCCCCCAAGTACTACCAGGAGTGATTCCTGAGTGCAGAGCCAGGAGTAACCCCTGAGCATCGCAGAGTGTGACCCACAAAGCAAAAAAAAATAGGATGTTATTCAAAAGGTTTAATCTGCTAATCTGTAAACCCAGATCTGTTGCGCTTTGGTTATAGAAGGAGATTTCTCCTGGATTTTGACTAGAGAAATGTCAAAGAAAGTATTGACCTTCAAGGATACACATCAGCTGTTTTTATCCAAGAATTTTGAATGAAGTGGCATTTAATTTCTTTCCATGTGACACTCAGACACCTCACTGGAAATTATAATATTCTTAATGTCAAAAACGTACATTGATTTTTGAGTTAATAATATAGAAGTGTTACGCGAAATGTAAGTTTTTCCTCTGTATATATAGCTGTCTAATATTGGTCTGATGAATGTAGAAACTTTCTACTAACAAGAAATAAGCCACAAAGGAAAAACAGTAATTATACTTCAGTCCTGATCTTAGTAGTATGCTAAGAGAGTCATTGTAACCAATGGAATGAGTGTAAAATTTAAAGATAACAGTAAGTGGGGGTATGGTGTCACCAGCAGGTCAGTCTGTACCTGTGAGGTGAATGCATCAGCAGCCTGATGGCAATGTCAGACTTTCAGATACCCCAAAATTGTTGCTGTGCCTTTGGCCAGACCCCAAAAACTTGGGGCAAAGTTTACCAAGAAAGTGAATGGCCCAAAAGTTAGATATGTGGGAGACACACCCACAAACCACCTCCGGCTCAGCTATATAATTGGAGGCATGACCTCTCTGGTTCCTGATCAAACTGCTTAATGGTCATGATCCCAGAGTCTCAGAAACTAATCTCGGAACCCAAAGGCTTTTGGCAGAAATGGGTCCTGTTCCTGCAGTAGGTTACTGGTGCTGGGCCACTCCAGGTGGGAATAGGTTTTGTGCCTTGGCCTGTTCCTCCTGTCAGCGGAGTGACCGCCATCCTCCAGAGGCCCCTGGACAGTCAGGTTTGGTCTTGCAGTGACGAGACACACGGGGAGCCGACTCTTTCTCCCCATCCCAACAAGACCCCAAGTCGCTGCCTACAAATGGCCTCTCTGGCTCCTGATCAAGCTGATTAATAGCCATGATACCAGAGACTCAGAAAATAAATCTTGAAACCCAGCAGCTTTTGGCAGAAATGCATCTGGACTGCATGCAAGGTGGCCGCTGGCTCAGAGCTTATTGGAAAGCCAGGTATGAGCCGGTGATGATGGGGCAACTGCAGTCTCATGGGAAGGGGGGCGGTACCAGCTCATCCTTCACGCCCTACCGAGGTCAGGAGTTGCCCCCCACAAGCCGCTCTCTGGCAAGGCTATGGCTCCAGAGGCAAAAGGACTTAGTCCAGAGCCCAGCAGCGTGCAGAAGAAAAGTGAATGGACCATGCATTAAACTATGTCTCCCCAGGAGGGAAAGGGTGTTGCTCCCTTCTGCCTTTTTCCTCACTGGAGCAAGGTGGCTGCAACCTCAGAGCTTATAGGAAAGCCAGGTATGAGCCGACGGTGTTGGGGCAACTGTAGTCTCATGGGAAGGGGGGCAGTACCGGCACGTCCTTCATGCCCTACTGAGGTCACGAGTTACCCCCGACGAGTGGCTCTCTGGCACGGCCATAACACCAGACACACAGAAACCAATCTCGTAATTATCTGGCTCTTTGCAGAAATCGAAAACCGTGGCCGCATGACATTATATGATTCTCATAACCAGCTATAGAAAACAAAATATTTCACAATGCCTTTTCAGCAATTCTGATTGTTTGGGGGGAAGTTCTAGACAATAATGTTGCATTTTTTGTCGAAATAATGAATTTAATCAATGTAGAGAAGAGTTAAGTAGAAATCATCTGCCTCACAGGCATTTGAGGGGTGGGAGGGGGGGTATACTGGGGTTCTTGGTGGTGAAAAATGATTACTGGTGAAGGGAAAGGTGTTTGATCATTGTATGACCGAGACTTAAACCTGAAAGCTTAGTAAATTTTCCCATAGTGATTCAATAAATAAATTCATTCTTACTTTGGACAACCTGGCAGGCTACCAAATTTAACCTGCCCACACGGCAGAGTCTGGCAAACTCCCTGTGGCGTACCCAATATGCCAAATACCAGTAACAATGATGGGTCTGATCCTCCTAACCCTGAAAGAGCCTTGAATATGGCACTTTTTAAAAAATCTCAGTGCTAGGATGAAGAAGACTTGACTGGGGCCTGCTCGAGGCAATCGACAAACAAATAAATATAAAAATTTAAAAAAATAAGATAACAGTAAGTTCCTAGAGAAATGTGAGATGAATAGTTAAACCTATCTATCAAAGAGGCCATATAGAGCACTAGAGGATAAGGTCTTTGGGTAACTATCTCTGTTAGTATAATATCTCCATTAGTATTTGTGTTGTAGAGTGTTTTCAACCTCCTCCCTCTACCACAGTGCACATGCATAGGCCCCTTAAAGGTAATAGTCCCTGATTAAATTGTAGAATTTATATAAACCGTGAAACATGGTTGTGGAGTTTAAGGTCAATAAAAAACACTCCTCTTCTTCTGTTTTCAGAAAACCAAAATCAAAACAAGTACACAAATTCCTACCCTGCCTAATGGAGCAGCCAGAAAGGTTTTAATATTAGTACTCAGAAAACATACAAATATGTAAATATTCAACTATTGGAAAAATCATGTTAGAAAATTAACTCTAATTGTATAGATGAGGAAATAGACAAAAGTAAATGCCTAATCAGAGACAAAAGAGATGCCAAACAGGGGAGTCTGAATCACTAAAACTGAGTAGTTTATTACAGGGTCTGAAACTTCAGCAAAGAGCACAGAATTAAAAAATCATAATATGAATATCTAGTTTAGAACTTGAAAGTGAATTTCAGACTTTATTCCCCTACCCTGCCTCTTTTAAGTTCTAGCCACAAATCAGTTTTCTGTTTCCAAAAGTCATTTGTAATGAATATAGGCAGATAAGCATCTTCAGTGAGATACCATCTTTGGATTTAAAAAATAAAAGAGAAAAAATATTATAATAGTTGGTTTTGCATGTCTCCTTTCCTAATTCATGAAATAAAGTTTTTGTATAAAATTCTGGTTCTACTTATTTTCTCTAGCCATGAAGATGCGAATCAATATTATTGCAGCAAACAATACAGTGGTTTTCCATTATGCAGCACAAAGAATTTCTTAGTCATTTCCTGGATACTAAACAGGGACCCTAAGTGACCACAAGGGTAAAGTATTTACCTATATGCTATAGGTATATAATATCAACTATATGCATTTCCTACTGCCTGATGGCAATTTCCTTTTCCTTCTCTTTTTTAGTTTTGGGCAAAGGCACACTAGGAGGTACTAGGGCTTTACTCTAGGAGGTACTAGGGCTTTACTCCTGGCTATGCACTCAGCAATCACTTCTGGAGGTCACAGGGGACCTATATGGTGCCAAGAAGCAAACCCAGGTTAGCTGTGTGCAAGGCAAGTCCACTGTCTCGACTCCTGTTCCCCCAGCCTCTGACGGTTTTATATTATGATCTGTGCATTCACAGATCATAATATATGATTCACAGAAGTAATTTGGAAAGAAAACTGTGTACTTCAGTCAGCACTGTACTTGCCAGATATTATTTTTTGGGTGGGAGTGGGAGGTGTGAGACTTCTGTCACTTTTCTTTTAAAAGACCAGGGTGTGGCGCTGGGAAATATAACATTGGTGCTAAGCTTTGTACCAGGCTGATGTGGGTTTGATCTCCAATATCACGTATGGCCTCCAAGACCCACCAAGTAGGACCAATAAGTAGAGAGCCACGCTAAGCCCTGACCACATTCATATGTGGCCCCCAAAATGAAACAGACAAATCCGGGGTGGTCTTGTCTTACTAAAGTTAGATTACTAAGCTGTGAGGCACTGGGAGCAGGATAAAGGCAATGAAGAGGTGAGCCAGAGGCAATACAAAGGCAGTGAAGAGGGTTTTTGGCACTTCAGTGGTCCTGCAATAGTATAACTTTGTACTTCAATACCATAAACATTCACTATTGTGATCATGCTATATCAACCTTGCATTTAAAAGAAAACCATTAAAGGTAACACCAGAGAAAGAGGAAAATATATTAAAAAGTTGAATTTATTCAACAAAACCGAAGTATAAGAAAAGGTCAATGGAGGCAAATTAAATGGAGACAAAGGTCTCTCTCTGGGGGAAACTTTAGCCCAACTGAGGGTTAAAACATATTTCTCAAGCTTTTGATGGGAATGGCATTCAGAAAGCCGTACTTTGTTGCAGTAGTATTTCTTCACAAAAGCCCCTTTCAGTCACTTATTTTTGTCTAAGGTAAAGTTACCAAAGAACCTAATGCAGGAGAATGTGAGTAGATTTTCAGCTTCCAGAGGCACCAAGCACAGTGATGAGGTTGTAGTATAGGACAGATGATTCTAGCTACTTCTATTAATTCTACCGTAATTTCTATTAACTCTACTTCTATTAACTCTAGAGTTAAATTAACTTTACTGATATATTACTTGGGATATAGTCTGATTTACTGAATAGAAATTCACATATGTGAAATCACACATTGAAATAGTATGTACTCAATATAGGGGCCATCAATATCATTATTGCACATCATATTCCTTAAAGTAACAGGAAATCAGGTTTTACTAATAGTAGGATGGTAGTATTTTAGTTTGATAACTATAATAATTTAATGTGTCAATTATTTTTTGTTTCATTATCTATATGTCTATATGAATTTTTCACTAATATAACCTTTATATTTCTACTTTCAAAAATGAAAGTAATTCCATATTTATTAATATATATGCATTCATAATATGAATGGCAGGTGAAAGCAGAATTACAGTCTCAATTTTTTTAGATAAACATTTCTAAGGAGGAATGAGATCATTAACTTTTTGAAGGTAAATAGAATACTTGGTACCTCACTCTAGTCTTCTCAATTCTCTATCATCAAGAGCTTAAAGATCAATTATTGGGGCTTTTCTTACTTTCCTTACTTTTTTATCTCTCCTTCTGATCGTAACGTGTGAAACCATAAGGATAAAAGCAAGGTTCAATATTAGTTTACGTTACCTTTGTACTTTGCTTAATAAATAGGGATGTCAAAAGAGTGCACAATCCTGGCACCAAACAACCTTGGGCGATAAATCCAAGCTTTAGTTCAGCAAAACAGATGATATTGTCACCATTGTTCCAGTTCCAGGTGGGAATCTTTGACAGAAAACTCTGTTTCATGGGTTGCATGGTAAAAAGTAGACAAAATATTAAGAATAAATATACCTCAAGAAAGCTCTTTCTGGATAAACATATTTAATTTTATTTAGTGTATAAGAAAAAAATGGATGCTACAATTGAATCCAGCATTTAAAAATGAAGACTAGTCAACTGACCCCATTTAAATGATAAAATATTTGGATCTGAAAATTTCTATTGGTTTATATCTCTAATTTTATGCCAAATCTACTAGTTCTGTGTTGTTTTGTTTTTGAGTTTTGTGTTTACTAAAATATAACTAGTAGAGCACTACATTAAGTTCAGATGCACATCATGCTTATTCAATAATTGTGTAAAGTGTGATACACCACAGTTAGTCTAGTTAGCATCCATTATACAATCATAGCAATTTTTCTCTCATAATAAGCATTTTTAACATATAAGCACTTAACAATTTAATGGATATATGACAGATTATTAGCTGTACCAGCTGTACAATGTGACCCTAGTTAATCTAATTTTTATAAATGTTCATATTTAATTAAAAATTTTTAATTTAAATAAATTTTAAAATCTAAATACGTTTTAAATTTAAATTTAAATTAAATTAAATTTTCAAATTAAAATAAATTTAAATTTTATCATTTTTAATTTTTTTGATTTTAATTAATTCCCAATTTATTTATTTTTATTTAATTAATTAATTTTATTTTTTTAAATTTTTAGTGAAACACCATGAGGTACAGTTGTAGATTTACAATTTTTTGTGCTTGTGTTTCGATTATACAATGATCAGATACCCATCCCTCCACCAGTGCCCATTTTCCACCACCATGGATAATATCCCTCCCACCCCCATCTCTCCCATCTCACCCTGCCTCTGTGGCAGGGCAATCCCTTGTGTTCTCTCTCTCCTTTTCAGTGTTGTGGTCTACAAAAGAGGCTTTGAGTGACAAACATATTCAGTTCATAGTCTACTTTCAACTGGGAATTTATACATCTTGACCACCTAGCCATGTACCCCATAATCTGAATGCCTCAGATAACCACCAATATTTTCACCATGAATTCCACTTGTATTTTGATTTTGGTTGGATTCCACATATAAGTAAATTCATATTACATTTTTCTTTCTCTGATTTACCACATTTACATAATGCCCTCAGAATGACCAATGCTGTCATAAATAAAAAATTTAATTTAATTATTTTTCAAGGATAACATGTATGTTTGTATATATTTTATATGCATGTGTATGTAAATGTACAGTTATATCTGCATCTCTTCTCTCCCGTTCTCTTTATATGCCTACAAACCTATATAACCTATCTACTGGTGCTCATGTCTAATACAGTGGTTATGTTCTGGCTATAGGAAGTAATGTTGTAATGAATACGGAGGCACAGATAAGTTTTAAAGATTTTTATGTTCTTCAAATAAAATCCCAAAAGTGAAATTCTTGCATTATATGGTAATTGTATTTATTTTTAATTTCAAAGTAACTTCATGCTCTTTTCCATAGTGCCTGCACTAATTTATATTCCACTAACAATGCATGAAAGATTACCTTTTCTCCACATTCTTACTAACAAACATTTTTTGTCTTTTTGCTTAGAGTTCAGAGTCCTGTGATTCTGCAGAGAAGTATAAGCTAGTATCTCATTGTGGTTCTGATTTGCATTTCTCCTATATTTATTGTGATGCAACTTTTAATTTACCTTTCTGTTGGCCATTTATATGTCTTTGAAAAAATGTTTATGCGGGACATCTTCTCAATTTTTAAGTCATATATAACTTATTATGGAACAGACAATGAGGACCAAGATAGGGTTCAAATATGGTGTGAACCATGGGAGCACCTGTAAGAGCGATTAGAGGCCGCCCTAAAAGCCACCATCCCTCTCGGAAGGCCCGGAAAGCTATGAAGAGAATCCCGCCAACACAGCAGAGCCTGGCAAGCTACCTGCGGTATATTTGATATGCCCAAAACAGTGAAAACAATGGGCCTCATTCCCCTAATCCTGAAAGAGTCCCCAATACAGCAGCATTAAGAAGGATGAGTAAGGAGAGGCTGATGAAATCTCAGGGTCAAACTAGTCTGCCAAGACAAAGAATGATTAAAATGACTGTACTTTCAAAGCACGTATGCTGGCATCAGAAGCATCTATTGAGGACCTGATGGAAGTATGGCATCATTGGTATGATGTAGATGAGAAGGCATCGATCACAACACAACATTTTTTACACTGCAGAAGAACTGTTCCTTGGAGCATGTGACAATAGAGGTGTCAGTGTCCATGTCAACAGGAACTTGGCCACGAACATTGATTCATTCGAATGCCTAACAATCCGAATTGGACGATTACGCTTGAATATATGTGGCTCACTGCTCGCAGTTTCTTTCTCCGTCCTCTACACATCAACATCCAATGACTATGAAGAAGAAATTGAAAAGTTCTACAAGGAGCTGAAGAAGTTCTTTAATGAAGACCATACCTTCTACAAGAACATTGCCGGTGATTTTAACGTCAAGATACGACTGAGAAGGTTGCCCAAGGAACTCCACATCGGGACCCATGGCCTAGAATGGAACCAACAGGGTGAGAGACTGTCTGAGTTCATCATGTCGACCAAGATCATCCATGGTAACTCACAGTCCCAGAAGGCCGAATCTAAAAGTTGGACATGGGAGTCTCCCAGTTGACAGTTCCACAACGAAATTGACCACATCATATTCAATCAATGGTTTTGTCTGACCAATGTCGCTGTTATCCCAAAATCCAAACAGGATAGGAACACCATCTCCTTTGTGCAAAATTCTACTTCACAGAGTGGGGAAAGAGGGCTGCAACGTTTAAGAAGTGAACTCCCAGAATGACCACCAACTGGAAGCTCTTTGGCACTATTGCAGCAACTTGAGAAGATGCCGTCATTGACAACATCGAAGAGGAATACGATTGACTGGTTCAGCACCTCCAGCACTGCTCAAGGAATGCTGAGAGTGAGAAAGCCACAAAAAGATGCCTGTTTTTGGAAACTCTTGAGCTCATTCGCCAACGTGGTTTGGTGTGAGCCTCAGGCAATCACAAGCTAATGTCTGAACTCACAAAGCTGTAGAGAGAAGCAATAAAGACCTCAAAGAGAAGAGCAGCAGTGTTGGCCAATGTGGCAGAAGCCGGGAAAAGTATTTGCAGCACCCTCATGTCCTTGGCCAACTATAAGATGACTTCCCTGCGACATCCTGATGGATCTATCACATCTTCCAGAAGGGCAACAGAGAAGATTATCCACGATTTCTACTCTTCTATAGCACAGCGGTAGGGTGTTAGCCTTACAAGCGGCCAACATAGCCGACCTGAGTTCGATTCCTCTGCCCCTCTCGGAGAGCCCGGCAAGCTACCGAGAGTATTCGATATGCCAAACACAGTAACAACAAAGTCTCCAATGGAGACGTTACTGGGCCCGCTCGAGCAAATCGACGATCAACGGGAGGGCCTTTACCTTTACCTTTACCTATAGCCACATCCACCTGCCCACACACCAAATTCCACAGGATAGATATGTCGTTCCCAACATTCTCCCTTCCAAAATTCGATATGCCATTTTGTCAGTAAAGACATATACAGCACCTGGTCCAGATAAGGTCAAACCCGAACACCTGAACAATCTGCCGCCAGTACTCATTAATACACTGGCTTGGCTCTTTAGACGTTACCTGTCTGAATGCAAGGTTTTGTCTGAATGGAAAAATAGCAGGACCATTCTGTTGTACAAGGGAGATACCCACTACATCAGCAACTATCACCCGATCTGCCTGTTGTCCATCATCTATAAGTTGTTCATTCGAGTCATCCTGAATGGAATAGGCAGAACACTAGATGAAGGACAACCATGTGAGCAAGCCAGGTTCTGAAACAGATTCAGCACGATCAGTCTTATACACACAGTGACCAAGCTCATTAAGGTTTTGTGAAAGTTCAAGATGCCACTCTGTCTAACATTCAACAATTTAAAGAAGGCCTTTGATCCTGTTGAGACTGAAGTGGTCATCGAAGCCCTAGCCAAATGGGGCATTCAAACATCAGGATACTCTGAGAGCTGTATTACGAATTCTCACCACTCTACAAGGAAGTGACCATGGACATAAAGAGAAGGGTTCAGCGGGGTGATACCATTTCACTGAAATTCTCCAGTGTCACCCTCAAGAACATCATACGATGACTGGAATGGAAGAAATGGGAGTGACGATAGATGTTCAGCAACAACACTACCTCCTCTTCACTGATGACATCGTTTTAATAACACCAAACATTAGCCAAGCAGCACAAATGCTGCCAACTTCGACTGTGAGTGTGGAAAGTTCGGACTACGGCTGAATCTCACTGAAACAATGTTCATGAAAAAAGAACTAGTCACTGAAATTCCATTTGCTCTCAAAGGAACAAACATCTCTGAATGCAGCAGTTAAGTGTACCTGGGTCGAGAACTCAACATGGGAAGGACTTGGCCCCAGAATTGCTCAAGAGGAAGAGAGCTCCATGGAACTCCTTCAAGAGCTTCAAAGATTTGTTAAGAGGATGAAGAAACTCCGGCTCCAGGAACATCTTTTTGACTCCACCATTCTTCCTGCACTAACATATGCCTCAATGACCTGGGCCCTATGAAAACAGGATGAGAATGCTATTTGGGTATCCCAAAGAGGCATCAAAAGAGCTATGCTTAACGTATGACGCTTCACTCAAGTGAGAGAAGGAATCTAGAGTTCCTACCTCCATCGACAATCAAGAATCAGGGATGCTGTCTCGTTTGCCTAGGTGTCGAAAATCAGATCGGCCGGTCACGTAATAAGATTTAGAGATGACCACGGGACTAGAGTTGTTACCGACTGAATTCCACGGGACGTCGAAAGGTCGCGTGGCCACCTACCTACACGATGGTCAGACTTCTTTTTCAAACCCTGAACAAACTGTTTGAGGCTCTTCGTCCTCCTGGAGCAAGCAGATGCCATTGGG